AGTTTATGATAAAGTCCCCGAACCAGGTCTGGCGCTGATAGAAGGTGCTGTTGAAGGAGCTGCGTGGATAGAGCGAGTAAAGACGGGAGAAAAATGAAGGACCGGCGGAGGGGAAGAGGGCTTCGGCCTATTTTAATTTGCGGGCAATTCGTTAGAAGCTGCAAAGGAGGCATCGAAGACAAGACCGGTTGAAACTCACATCTACCGTCTCGTCCACCTGAGATGTCTGCGTCATGTTGGAGAAGATGTAGCCCTCGTAGGCATCGCGGTTGGTGATCAAGGGAACCTTGTAGAAATTGCCCTTTGCAAATTCTTGGTTTGGCAGGTCGCGGATGAACTTGCCATCCACCACGGGACCCCAGTAGTAGACGCCGTATGCATTGCCAGGTCCAGGGTATGTTGCATTTATCACTGCTTGGTTGAGGTTTCCCACTGTCGCAGAGGATAGGCTGCGGAGGCAATTGATATCCGAACAGCCCGACAGCTTCAGGGCCGTATTGTATTGGATATTCTGCGTGCTCCTGTTTGCCAGGGGTTGCCACCAGGGATGGTCCGCAATTGCGGCTGCAAATGGAGGGAAATCAGAGCCGCTATTCGCGATTAGCTGACACGATACACTGCCTCCACCAGCCGAACCTCCCCAGATAGTGACGCGACCAGGGTCGCCACCGAAAGCACGGATGTTACGCTGGACCCAATCCATGGCAGCGCGTTGATCGAGCAGGCCAGCATTCAACGCTCCATTCTCAGCAATGACATCGCCGCCCATGAACCCGAACATTCCCAAGCGGTACTGGATACCCACGTAGATGATGTTGCCGTTGGACCGGTTTACTAGGGCGTCGCCTGGGTAGGAGAACGGAGCGCTACCACCTACGTACCCGCCACCGTGAATGCTGGTTTGAAACATTCAAAGTCAAAGTCTGCATACTTGGGAGGATGAAAGCTGGATCACGCAAGGAAGGAGCAGGGCGCTCCCTGAGGTCTTCTCCAGATTGGCTTCCACCAGATCTCAGGAAAGCAATGCTGACCACGAAGAACTGGTTGAAAAAGACCCACTTACGTGAAAAGAACAGGCAAGGCTGTTGAAATAGGCCTGGAAGGCACTAGCACATCGAGGAGCAGACAATCCTCCGATTGTCCTTGTGGTGCCGACGGCGAAGCATAGGTGGATCTCGCGGAGGATTGATAGCATGCCGGGCCGAGGGTCGAAGCATTGATGGTCTGGCCGTTATAGTTATTCATGTATTCGATAGGCACGGGCTTTGCCCAGCGCAATTCGCCTGTGGGAGCGGCAGCGTAACGGATACCACGATAGTAGTTAATGCCCGCGGTGGCATTCTGGTAGCCGCTGTATTTCACGTATCCGAGATCGATGACTGGTACAGTCGATGAAGAATTCTGTGCTTTCGTGAATGCGCTGAGAAAGAGTAGCGCAAATGACACCTCAAGGATAGGGGATTTCATTGCTGGCCGCGTTGGATGTGTGTCTACCTAGAGCCGTTAATCAAGCAGAAGAGGGTAGAAGCACCGTGCAGTCGGAAGTGACCCTTCTTCTCCGAGTCACCGTTTTATATTGTTCGAGGACCTCAAGCTCGAGGTGGGAGCCCTGGAAAGCCATGGCGGGGAAGCTGTTGAAACTAGTTTCATGCCCAGCAGGTGGTTCTCCACTGACTTTCCACTTACCGTCCTGCAGGTCACCAGGTACAGCTTGAACAGCATGGAGATGTTGAGGTTTTGGATTCCTCGTAAAGAGCACAGAAGGAGTACCGTACCGGGCGAGGAAAAATGGGGAAATTCTGGGGTAACGCGTTGACCTTCTCGGTCGGAATGTGGCCGGGAGATGCTGTCATTGGAGGTTGCGAGAGGAGTCGGAAGGCGAGATCGATTCTGCCTAATTCCAGAGCGTCTATGGTATTGGTGCCAGAATCATTGCTCAGGAACGACCGGAAAGCAGCACTCTGTAGACTTTCGCTAACTGGATCGCGAGTATTTCATCCACGCAAGAGTTCTATCAGGCAGACGGCTCGGTTATTGTTATACCGCAGCGAGAGGGGGTTGCTGAGTCTCGGGGCATGAGGAAAACTCCGTACTCGTGGGTTCCATTGTGCCGATTTTCAAGACCTATCAATCGACATCGTTTAGGCGACATCTCTTGTTGCTTCAAGGTTGGCTGGCTCAATTAAGGAGGGAGGAGGAAGTCTTTTAACCGGAGTAATATTCGGAGGTTGGACCAAATCTGAAATCTACTTTCAACAGGAGACCAGATGCGATATCTTCAAAAGCAGATGTGAAAACGCGAATGTAGCTTCAGTGTTGTATACGCAGGCCTGCAGCTTTACAGCCTTGCTGAAATGTAAGGCTCATTTCGCTCGACTTCTATTACTAGTTTTCATTAGCAATACGTGGCTGTCTCCCTCCTGTAGCGCAAATGAGGAGGTGTTCTGGAAATCTCCCACATGGGTGTCTTTCTTCCATTCCAGGAGACGCTGAGGTTTCAAAGATGATGATAGTGAGTTTATGCCTGCTTCATGAATCGCTTCAAGCCACCAATATGTCGACAGTCAGTCTCTCATTCCACTGACTTGTGCCGATTGTATACTGTGAGCTGGTACTCAATCAATGGAGAGTTCTGTCAGCAAGCCGAACTGACCTAAAATGGTACCTACCACATGTTGGCTCCGCTCGTTGTACACGTTTGTCTTGGCCATAGTTGCCTCAAACATTCCGACCCTGCACCATAGCCGCCACCAGCATCTAACAGAGTCAGAAGAAGAAAGAAAGCTGTGGCGACGGGTGTATCGTGGCTGCAAAAAGGGCCAAGCATTGGGGATCGGCCACCGGAGGGTGTCTGGATGTGAGTGCAACGCGCAAAATTTTTGGGTTGTGCAGTGACGGATGTCGACATGATACTGATGGTGAATGGCGATATGCGGCCTCGGAGACCTAGGGATTCAATGGTTTCGTGCTTAACGCGGTATCGTCCCAAGTTAGAGTTTCTGGGCAGTTGTCCGGGAATAGGGTGGGATCAAGGGCAATTAGGGGGTGTACTTCGGACGATGATGGGAGAGTCAACATGCAGCGATGACCAGCCGAGTGCGCCGTTCTGAAGTTTGGGCCCTGATTTGGAATAGGTCTTGACGGCCTATCTCAAGTAGTCGAGGAGGTTCTCCTTCCCAAATCCCGCAGTCATTGTTACTTTGGCAGCACAACATGTTTTCGAGGCCAGACCTGCAATGGCGACCGCTTGTCTGTCGGGTAACTGTGCTCCGAGTCAACGCAAGATTCTAGCAGCTGCGCCCCTGCCACTCGATCCATCAACGGGCTTCTGCTTGCAACCGTGTCTTGACGGTTGCATCTAGTAGGATCCAACAAGGAAATATAACTTCTTCTCCCTTCTGTGGTCGGCGGCTCGATGTAAAATGGCTTTCTTCAGAACTGACTTCCAGTGGAAAGAACCCCAGGGAGGCACAGTCCACGCAAAACACCTGGTGATCATCGTATGCCCTTAGGGCTGCAAGGTTGCAAACTCCATTGCAGTAGATCCTCCCCCTCGGCGGATTCGCACCGCCAATCATCATCGTTGTCTTGGGCAATGCATAGAGAATCAATCAAAAAGTAGTGGAACCCCAGTTCCAACGTAATTGTGATGGTGCCAGCCATTGTCCGAGGCAATTGACCGAAAGGGATGGCCAACTTGGAAGGTGCCATTGAGCTTTTCGTCACTGCGAGCCTTTCCTGTTGTCTGCAGCAGTAACTCGAAGTGAGACAGCGGATTTCTTTGTCCCGGAGCTGGTTGCAAAGTTCGACCGTAGCGCAAAGTCCGACGCGGGGCCCGGCATCCATCGTGTCCACGAACAAAGGCCGAGTTGGATGCTCGCCTGAATCACCATCGTTGATCGAGCACACATGGTTGTCCAGACACTCGTGTAACCAGGAGTCGACCAAACCGAAACATTGCTTGGATGCTGTAGAGCCAGAAAATATGCGTCGGCATCTCTCCATGCCAGCCCTGCAAATCCGACTGACGAGTTCGCTCATCGGGCAGTGTCAGCGTCTGGACAATGCGGCCCTCGCGCTTTTGACATGTAAGGCTGTACGTCGCGGCCGCGAGCAAAGGGCTGCGAGGGAGTCGGGGTATTCCTAGGATTCGCCACAAAAGAGAGCACAAATGGCATCAGGACTTGACAGAAGTTTGAAACTGTCCCACGTCTAAGTGACCGAACGAGAAGATGCCAAGATATAGACACCTGGCGCCGGGCCTGCAACAGGCTGATTACATAGTTCCTTGCACAGATGACACAAATGACTGTCTTTCGGAAACACGGCTATCGAAGCACATTTTACTTGCAGACTTGGGCTTCCGGGCATATCTTCCATGCTGTGTCAAGAGACTCCTTACAACAGTTCACACCAGAGAACGTAAGGAACAAGAGCATAATCTTACCTCGAGACAGGTCGCTGGACATAGCCAGCTCATGTCCTACATATGTTGGTGTAGGCCTACACAGCCTCGTCCGAAGCAAAAAGGCGACGAAATTGATGCTCGGGAGGCAACTTGCTGATGAGCCGACTCGCCGAGTACGCATCTCCGAAGTGGATCAACATTATTCCGTGTGGTCTGTCTGTATTTGGCAAGTTGGCCGGCCATATTCTGTCACTGCATGCGATCACGTTCAGATATGGATTTGACAACATCGTCTTATTAGTTTCAAAATTGCAGAAATTTTAGGATCGAGATGGTTACATCCATATTATCTCCCATACCTCTGAGATACGATACCAGGCTCCCCGAGCCGACGGCTCCACTGCTTGATCCAAAGATTCCGTTCGCTCCGCACACTCGTGAACCCGGCCATTTCGCCCCTAACCTCCGAGAGTTGCACTCCTCCTCGCTACCGAAAAGTCAGTGGGGGTTCTTCAAGAGCTGAGGGATATAACTTGATGCAAGTTTACATTGAAAAATGGAACAAAGCCCTTGAGGCAACCCATGCCTACACTCACAACAGGGCTTTAAGCTGAAGTTTGACAAGACCGAATGCTGGGTCGCTCTGCTTTCCCGGAGAGTCGAGAACTGGGCGATCAGTCTTGTTGTCTCCCACTTGGACACTCAATACGGTCCATGGGTCCGCTTGGACGGGCAATGCAACGTATAGGTTCAAAAGCGTGCGTTGCTGCATTTCCCTGCCTGCAAGCAACTTTAGCCGCGTTTCAGCTCTTTCGTCAATGTGCTTCCTACCCTCATCATTACCGCTTTTCGAGTCCATTTTTGTTGCAAACAAATTGGAAGACACCGATGCTATCCTCCCGCCCTTCTCGCAGTGCCTGCCCGGGGTGTGTTGATTACCAATGTTTATAGCGAACAAAACTCAACCGTACTCCACTGTTTTCCGGGTGCTCGACCCTTTTTGAGAGGAACAGCAAGAAATAAGCGTGGACGTCTCAGCAACACGGGCCATGGCCCATAGATATTCATGTCGACAGATTGATCATTTCGTCCTATCTTACTCTCGGGCGAAGTGGCTGGAGCGCTCTGACCGCCAATGTATTGCCACTACTGATCCGCGCCTGTACCAGCGCCACTTACTGGGTACATGAGCTTGACCCAGCAGGCATGTTGAACACGGGATGGCGTGCAGATACCCTCATCACCAGACTATCAATGGTAAGTTTGCAACGTGGCCAGGCCTTCACCAAGCATCCCCCGGCGGACACAAAATACTTCTGAGCAGATTTACCTACTACAATCACAGAAGGAAATCGTATACTCGGATTTGACGTATTCCACTGCGGGGAGAACGCTGAGAAATCTTGGAGCTCGAAGCGTTTCGGAAGACTGCATGACCACTGATCGCAGAAAATGATGCTGCAGAGAAATGACAAGCCAAATCCGCCACAATCAGACCAAAAATAACCTCTATCACGAAAACCCAGCGATTGATAAGGACTTCGAGCCAGTTTCGACCAAAAGAAAAACCCAAAAAACAAGTTTTGAGAAGGATTGCCTATGCAGTGCTGCGACAAGGCAAACATCGGTGGCTAAATTCTCACATCATGTCGTCAACAATGTCTCCGCAATCTGACCAGCTGACCCCCAATGCATATACTCCGTACAAAGCTTAAACCCAGCATTGAGGCTCAAGTCACGTGCGATGCACGGTACTATGTGCCAGCAAATATGTGAAACTTTTCAATATTGTGGAGGAGACCTGATGAAGGATGGTGAAGAGACGGGTTTGCGTATACCTCCTGTCTGCCTAGGTGAGAGGACCCCTAAATCCTTGCAACAGGGATATTGGACATGAGTCACCAAAGGGAAATACGTACCCTTTTTAGGACCGAAGTCATGTTCGGTCGCCAACGTCCTTTGCATCAACCAGGGTCTCAAAACAAATCCACTACGTGTACGCAATCACGTCGCATTCGCGAGCTGATCCGTCCTCTGACATCCCTCCCAACACGGGGTACAGTACACGTCAACCTCGACCGGTCACATGCGTCGAGAACCGGGACCAGTGCCCCCAGTGGTATGTTTCGCAGGTCAACTACTGGTCCTGTACAAGCACCACCATGGCCATGACCAGCATGAAAAGTACGAGGTTAAAACTTTTATTTCAAATGTGGCACCATGCTCGATTAATCCTCAGAGCCTCTTAGACTGTCCCTATCTTTCCAAGGTGGAGGACTTGGACGCAAAGGGAAAAGAGCGTCCAGGTAGAGTGGTGAATGGTTGTTGAAGTTATACAACAATGTTTCGAGATGCTGCGGTTGTACAGCTACTTGTACATCAAGAAATCAGTTGCCATGATGGAGTCCGTATATGTCCTTCCACCCTCTGGCTATCACCGCCTGAAATCAGCGGATTCAAGGAATCCCTTTTTTTCCGTCAGTCCAGTCTACCTGACGCTCATCAGTCGATGCAATAAAGCATGCTGCCCCGACCGAGTTTTGAATAAATGGTGCATGGGTCCGGCGGTCCTCGTGAGTCTTTGTCAAAAGACCTGCCTCACCAGCATCTTCTTGTTGATTTTTCCCATTGCATTCCTCGGGATGCTCTCGACGGCCTTCAATTCCTGCGGAATCTTGTAATTCGCCAATTTATCCTTCAAGGCCCTGCGCATGTCCATCACTCCCCACTGCTTGCCTCCCCGACCACTGCTTTTCCCTTTCTCGCTCAGGACCACAACTGCAGCAACCTTTTGGCCCCATTGCTCGTTCGGAACTCCCACCACCGCAGCTTCAGCAATCTCGGGGAGTGAGAGCAGTTCCCGTTCAATTTCTAATGCTGAGACTTTTTCTCCGCCCGTTTTTATGATGTCAACGGATTTGCGGCCTCGAATGAAGTACATCGGCCCGTGTGCCCACGACTGCTCGCTTCTGCCTGTGCCGGGGACGACTTGGCGGATTGCCACGTCACCTGTTTTGAACCAATTTCCCTTTCCGTCCTCAGACTTGACAAATTCCGCCGCTGTAGCAGAGGGGTTACGGAAATATTCTTTGAACACGGTAGGGCCACGGAGCTGGATCTCTCCTTCGCGCGGTTGACCGTTTTCGTCTAGTTCTTCACCGGCTTTTATCAGGGCTCCTGTCTCAGTATCGACGAGTCGTATCTCGACTCCCGGTAACGGCCACCCAACCGAACCGTCCACACGATCCTCCAACGCCAGTCCACAAGACAATGCCATGCCGACCTCGGTCATCCCGTAGCGTTCGAGGAGGACATTGCCCCTAGAGAGCTCCGTCCAAGCTTGTTTTATCGGTGTAGGAAGGGCAGCGGAACCGGATATATTCAGCCGAAGGTAGTGAGGGGCGATCGCTGTGCGGGTTGCGATCTGCATTTGCGTGGAGAGGGAGGAATGAGTTGCAAGAAGGCGGTTGTATATCGTCGGGACACAGGTGAATAAAGTTATTGGTCTCTTCTTTGCATCTGGAGGGGAAGACGACGGATTAGGGAGGAATGGTGCGGCAAACCGCTTCCACACCGTGTCCGCGTTGAAAGGGTATGCGAACTCAATTGCTGAGCCAGCCATTAGCGGAGTAAAGAGCGCATTGATCGTGCCGTGGATATGGTGTAGTGGGAGAACATGGAGGAGGAGGTCTGAGGAGCTGTATTTCCATGCTTCGATCAGGGAGCTTGATTGCGCCGTCATGTTGTCCACAGATAGAACCACACCCTTCGGACGACTCGTGGTCCCGGAGGTGTAGAGCATGAATCCACCGTTCTCAATGGCATTGGGGCTAAACTTGACATCCTCGGCGTATAGTGCTCCGGTCTCAATCTTTGAGAGGATTTCGAGTTTTGGTGCATGAACCAGACCTTCTTTCACCACCTCTTTCGCTTTCTCTTGGAATTTCCCCGTCGAGAGGAACAGTGCGGCTTCGCTGTTCTCGAGGATGTATCGCAACTCGGAGCTCGGATGGGTGTGCGCCAATGGGAGGGCAATAGCATCGAGTGAGAGGATTGAGAGGAACGTCACTGGAACATTGTCAATATCTGTAGCACAAGGATCGTAGTATTACTCCCGCACCTACATAATCATATCCATTTTCCGCCAGAAAGGCTATTCTTTCACCCGCCAGAGATTTCTCTCCAGCAAGAGCGGCCAAGTTATCCTTTGCTGCGGCAACATCGTGTAATAGACTGCCGTAGCAGAAGGTACGGTCGGAGGCGCTGTGGATTATTGCAGGAGATTTTGGGTCATGACTGGCGATGGCTGCGAAGATGGGAGAGGAGGGGAGAGTGGACGCCATCCTGATCGAGAAGCCCTGGAGGTTCTTCTTGCAGATGGTGGAGGGGAATATGGAGGAGGAGGAGCTTAGCAATGCTGTCCGCGGCGATGCTGTACCTATAAGGCCAGCAGCCCTCTTGAGCTGAGAGCTCGCCGCGATGATGAGGCGAGAGGTTGGAGGGGCAGGACCCATCCTGAAACCATTGTCGTCTGTTGACTCGCTCACCGAAGCTATCTGGCTTGACCGCTGGTCTTGATACGACCTAAAACAAGAAGACGAAAGACATCGGGCGCGGGTCCGGGGATTTAAGGTGTGAAATGGAGGGGGAAACGAGCTGGTGCTCGATATATTTTATGACTCCGCATGCGGGCGGAGGAAGAATATTCAGCCGGAGCATCATTGACCATGGTCGCTTCCATGACACCTGCATCTCCATCATATTGCATCCACAATCTCAAACCTCACAAGAAGCGAGCATTTTGTCTCCCTTCCCTTCAGGTCCAGCATGCGAATAAAACTCCAGCCCGGCGACACATACAGCAACCTCACCGCAGCAACGGCAAAGATGGGGTTAACGGCAAAACTGTCATCGCTCTTAACGAGCATCCGGAGGAACACCAGCTCGTTGTCATCATATTCCCATTCCAGCGTCTCGTCCCAGACAGGATCCGTGGGCGGTGGGTTCTCGCCCCTGTGCAGCAGCCCGAGTTTGTGTTGCCTGTAGTGTGCCGTCTTGCGCTTCGGGGCGTCATCCTCTTCAATGTCAGGGTGATAGAGTTTGCACGTCAAGTATGGCTTGATGTCATCGGGTTCACGTCCTTCTGGCACAGGCACGTCAGATGCTCCTGCAACATGAAGGCGAAGGATCTTTCTTTTCCCGCTGTTGAGTGTGCCGGATCCGCCTGCTCGCAAAGCTGCCGGCTTCAAAACATAACCATCTGTGCCACTGAAGAGGGCCTCGTTCAGCTGTATGCTCGCCCCGAACGTCTGCCAGTTCAGTGCACATACTTGGGCTCCGATACCCCAGAACTGCACCGGCTTCAGGTTTCGGGAGGAGATCCGGGTGCCTTTGGGATACACCCGCATCAGATGTCGAGCGTTATGGCGAGCAATTTTATCGTTGGCGGTAGGCATGTGGGCCTGTAGACCTGTCTCTGAGACGTTGATGAGATGATGGTGAGGCCCGTCTTTGAGTCCAACTTCGCCATACCATGAATCGTCGCGCGGCTTCACTGATTGAGCGTAGACACCTAGCTCGGCCAGTTCGGGAATGATGATTGTGGGGGCAGCCTTCTTCTTCTCGTTGTAGGCCTTTCTGGCCTGTTTCACCTCTTCATCCTCGTCTGAGCTAGAGTTTTCCTCTTCATCGCTTTTGGATTCACTGGGAAAATGGTATTCGACAATGAGCACTATTTTGGAACCAAGTTCTTCGAGGGTCACTTGCTCGCCGGTGCCTTGTTGCTCTGCGTGCCCCTTTTGCCTAATAGCCTTGCTCAACAGCCGGTCGGCCCATACCTCTTTCATGATCTCGACAAGACGCCGTTGGCCATGTGTATCGCAGTGGTTTTCTAGAGATAGAAGAATCGGGGCTGCTCTGTATCCTGGCTGGGAGGCAGACTGACCAGCTTCCTGGTCAACCACATCACGGATTGTTTCACATACTGCTCGGAACGGGACATTTGAAACGAGCGTATAGCCATGCGTCACCTTGGGTTCGTCCTGGTTGTCCTCGTTATCCCAGGCATCGATCTCAACACAGCGCGATCCCGTGTTGAGAGCGGTCCTGTAGGCATCGGTGGAAGAAGTACCATAGAGCTGGTGGGCTAGCAAGTAGGTGTTGTGACTCGAACTGATGAAATATTCGGGCAATGGGTGAGACCGATCAGTTACATAGGATGGGACATTAATATGTGGCTTGCTGAGGAGCCCATGTAGTGGCCCGGTCAGTTGGTGTGGATTGTCATTGTCTAGACCAGCATCTTCCTCGGAGAGAACATTCTGCCTTACGAGGTAGGATCTGAGAGCATGGCTGACTCGAAGCTGATGTTTGGTGATGTCGGTTTCGCGGGCGCCATGACCTCCACCGGCAACAGTGGAGGCGTCGATGATTTCGCCTGCGTCCTCGTCGTCGACTTTCCGAGTTGTCCTCGAGAAAGGGTTCAACTTGGCCATGCGCGACGTTAGATGAGACGAGGTTGAGTCGGACATAGCGAGCATGTAGAGACACCTTGATGAGGACAGAACAGATTGACGAGCCTCGCTGGCAAGAGTTGTTCTGCCGTTGAGATCATCTGCGTTGTTGTCTCTGGTCTCGGCGCCAATTAAGCTCAAAGACGACGCGGCCTGAAGTCAGATGCCGACAAGTAGGAGCTGAAGGATGCTCGGCTATAATTCTGCAATCATCGCGCCGTATTGGCCCTCTTGTGTGTCTTGGACGACGCAACTCGGAGTTTTACAAGCTCCTCTAGCCTGTCTGCTTGCCCTAACTGTGTACCCAATTTACTCGCAGCAACCCGCCCAACTATTTGGATGTGCCGCTCACACCTCGTCTCATTGATGCTCACACGTCGACACGTCGGGTTATATACGTGCCAAACACCATCCCGTCCGGTACGTGCTTCCACTCTTTGGTTTCTGGATCCAGTGTTGGCCTCGGTGTCCGCCCACACTCCGCGAATCAGGTCTGCCCTCTCTTTGCTCCGGAGCTTGATAATCACCTTGAATGGGGTTGGCGCGATGGCTGCACCTCCTCTCAAGTCGTTAATATCCGAGGTGATGGGTTCGTCTTTTTCAGCCAGAGGTCTTGAGAAATCAAACCCCCCCAACATGCGCGACACACCAAGGAAGAGGGAGCGGTCCGCGATATGCGCCCACTGGCATAGCCGACGCCCAACACCAAAAACGAAATAATGCCTTCCGCTCACATGGGACCTATTGGCAGATTGGAACTCACTCTGTAGATCGTTCATGTGGCGCGTTGGGTTGAAAACTCGCGGGCGAGGAGTACGTTTGGGATCCTGGGTAATGTACCTGGTCATTTTAGCATTAGAAGTCCTTGAACTGTAGGTGATGGCCTTTTTTTGTGGAGGGGGGATATTTTAAACTTCTCACCAGACGTTAGGAATAACGGATGCCGCGGCTGGAATTCTGTAACCTATGTATTCGTCGTCTACTGTGGTTGCATGGGGCGCTCCATAGACCGTAGTAGGCATCCATCGCAAACTCTCCTTGGCACAGGCGTGGACGTAGAGCAGATCAGCCCCGTCGTCCATCGTTGGCAGTCGGCCAGACCCGACAACTTTGTCTAGTTCTTGCTGTGCTCGTTTTTGGACGTCGGGAAACACCATCATGGCCAGGACAAGACCCTAGAGAGTATAGGCCGTGGTGTCGAAGCCGCCTTCAAGGAGCGATCCGGCTATGTAGGCTGCCTGGTCGTCGTCAAACCTCTCAAACTCTTGCGCTTTGAGGAGGTCGTCGCAGAAGCAAGGCTAGTTTGACACCGAGTTAGTCTTGAGCATGCTTTTCAGCGGTCTCTTTCAAGCCCAAGCGACGGCGTCTTCTATTGTACACGTGCCCAGATTCGCGCCATGAAGGCACTGGGAACTCTCAAGAGCGACCGCGCGATCGTGAATATTGCTAGGATGGCTTCGCTGAAACACGATCCAGACGTCTACGCGGACCGGTCCTCCAAAGCTGCCAACGCGCATTTCACGCAGAGTGTCGCCAAGGACGTCTCGAAGTTTGGGATTCGGGTCAACGCCGTGTCTCCGGGTATGTCACGATATACTGATGTCTCTGATTTGCCCTCTGTCCGAGATGTGAAAATATCCCAACTCTCTCATCACACCATAAGGTCGACTGCAACTCCGATGTTGAGAGAATTCACTGGTGGCAAAGAGGCACAACTGGACGATTGGAAAAGCCGAGGGTGGGAAGTAATCGAGCCGGACGATGTCGCCCGCGTGGTTGTCCGGCTCCTTAGTGAGGACTCGCGATCAGTGTTTGCAGCCAACCTCAACATTGGGGCTGCGCTACCATAGACTTAGACACAGATCGAATAAGGCGCCCACCATGCAAAGAGGAAATTCTGCAGGTGGAAGGCGCCCCTGTCGCGCACCAGACCCCTGCCGGGCAGACATCCATTGTGGTCCCCTTTGTGGATATTCTCGAGCATGTAGATGCAGCGTCGAAAGTGCGAGAAGTATCGAGGACGTCTTTGTGCTCTACATATATCAGTATTCTGGCTGAACCTGCCCCATCTGGAAGCAGGAGAATGCCTTCGAAGTGGTCCTGCAAAGGAGCACTTCAAGTGAATTTACGACCCATCTCGTTCGTCGCCCTGGGACGCTGCTGTGCAGTAGCAGGTGCCACTCAGCAATGTATTGTATTCAGGCCAAGAATGCCCAATTCGCTTGGTTCGATGGCTTTAAGGGGATTTGCAGACACAGCCTGAGTTTCCGTTGTCCGAGGTTATTGATCGAGTCCCCCGAGGCCAACGCTGAACTTGATTTTCCGTAGCGCCCATTGAGCTACAGCCTAAAGCACCCTGCTCCCTACAATAAATCTCTTCTCCGAGGTTGCGGAGACAAGGGCCATCTCCGGAGATTGAATACTTCCGGAGAATGCATTCGACCCCAGATTTAGACCCCGCAGCTGCCTATTGGACTAACCCAGTTAGGCTAGGTAAAGGGAACCTCTTGACACTGCGGCAAACTGTCACCTCGGAGCCCTTAATATTTAAGGCTTCTTCTGTCATTCCGGATAGACCTTCTCTTCAACTTATCAAACGACCCACCTGGCCCCAGTCTAGTTCAAAACAGCCAACATGCCTCTCGCACTAGATTTGGAGTTCGCCAAAGTTTTGGAGCCGTTGCTCCCGGGGATGGCAAATGCGCCAAAGTTGGCTATAGGAGATGTCGCGGGAAAGCGCCAGGCATTGGATGCCTTTTTCGGTCCGGTTTTTGGCTCATATCCTGACTCACAAGACGTCATTGAGGAGAAATATCATGTCAAATCCAGCGGCAGCTTCGAAGTCCCGGTCTACCGCTTCATAAAGAAGGGTACACCCAACACAGATTCGAATCCAGCTGTCTACTACCTGCATGGCGGAGGTTACATCGCTCTGGACGTACCGCTATATCGCAAAAAGATCAAGGATCTCGTATCACGCTCCGGAGTCCAGATCTTTGCCCCGGATTACAGAGTTGCGCCCGAAGCACCCTATCCGCTGCCGATCGAAGACGTCTGGGCAGGGTTGCAGGATCTGAGCCAGAACGCAAAGAAATATGGCGTTGACCCTGCTCGAATCGCCATCATGGGGGATAGTGGAGGCGGCGGCCTTGCCGCGGGCCTTGCGCTGAAGGCGAGAGACGAAGCGCTGAACCCACCGTTGGCGAAGCAGATCCTGGTCTATCCCATGCTGGACGATAGAAACACCAAGCCCATCAAGGCACTCGAGCCCTTTGGGACGTGGACCGTCAATGACAACACCACCGGCTGGCAGGCATACCTGAGCGGCAAAGCAGGAGCATCAGATGTTCCATACTATGCTGCTGCTGCACGAACACCGTCGGTCGAAGGTCTCCCGCCGACTTACATTGATGTGGGAGATTTGGACATCTTCCGTGATGAGGACGTGGAATATGCCCGCCGCATCGCCGCCGCTAATATCCATACCGAGCTCCATTTATATCCGGGAGTGCCACACGGGTGGGATCTGATTGCTCCCGGCATCTCGGTGACCGCTAACGCCTTGGCCAACCGAATCAGAGCGATGAAGTCAGTTTAATGAGAAGCACAACGGGTGGAGATGATCAAAACCCGCCGTCACATAGTGCTATGTACACAAGACATGCTTAACAAGACAATGTCCTAAATTGCGTACACTACAGCGCTTCTCTGAGCCATTTAGTTTGCACAGACTTTTTTGGAGATTTCAGTTTTTTTTCTCTACTTGGCCCTTAGCATAGCGACTTGATATGTAGTTCTCGCCAGACGAAATGTTGAAGCATAGAGGCACTAAACCGGACATTGTCTACCGCTTGGAATCAGCAGTGCATGGAGGGCCAGTATCTTCCTTCCCAGGTTGGTATCTGCCAGGCTACAGAATCGCGATTGCATTGGGTGGTGTGCCGACTCCGCCATACACGTGAAGAGGCGCACTGGTCAGGAAAAACGACCCCTGCCTCCTTTCCCGACAAACCTCTGCCAACCTCTCGAGATCCCAAAGCTCGCCGATCGGCGTCCCCCAATGAGCCAGAAGCCATTCGTGGAGGCACACGGCCCCGGGCTCCAGGAATGGGTATAGGAGTGACTTCGAATCCAAGCGTATCGGTTGCCACTGCGGCGAAATGGTGATTCCACAGCCACTTGACCCTCTTTTCCGTTGTCTCAAGTCCGATAAACGCACCTTTCTTTGAAGCCTCCTCTTGTTCCTTTTTACTCGCCTCTCGAACGTGCGGAGGACGAGGATGTCTCTATCGCGCAACTGCATGTCTTGATGCTTGGCCACGGCTTCCAGCTCTTCCGTGGTGATCATCGTGGCCGAAGGGATCGTAACGGGAACTTGCCCGGTTTGTTGGCGCCATCTATGGTAGTCGAAGAGAACGTCGCGCCCGACTATGCCACGGCGCTCTACCCATTCTGCCAGAACGAAAGATAAAAGCATATGGTGTTATCATCTCCCGGTCTCACTCAGGTTCCCAGAGGAGCGGGCTGGGAAGTCTTACTGTGAATGCCCAGCCTTCCATCTTCCGCTTCTCGTCTATGTCCCGATGCTTGACTCCTCCGTAGTATATTCCGGATTCTTGCAGTCCGATATGTCGCAGACCATCCCACTGAGAGCTACTCTGGGTATTCAAGGACAGGACATCGTCGTGAGCGACAATTTCTAAGTTGGTCCCCTTGAGTCGGTCCTTGAAGTCGATGATCTGGTGGCCGAACCCTTGTCGCCCGGCCCCAAGGTAGTCGAAATGACTCAAGGGAAGATGCTACTGCACTGTGACGCCAGCTTTGATCTCCTCTGTTGCCTGCAAGATGACTTCGGGAGTCAAATAGTTGAGAGCTCCATGTTCAACCATCAGACACCGTGAATATGGCTCCACTGCTATAGAGAGACAGATTCGGCTACTCACTTCGTAATTCGTCGTTCTCTCTCCATAGACCCCAGGCATTCCCCTGAGGTTGTCCTTCAGTTTTGGGTAGGGAGTCGAGGTCCGGATACACGTGCATAATCCCAGAAAAACGTTCCAATGTACTTGAGCCACTGATTGATTCTGAATGACGATCCAAACGAATATGTCTACTTGTTAAGCTCTTTGTAAGAGATACCTGCACCGTGGCGCTATATCACTCTAGAATTATGACCACCACGCCAAAGAAGTCGCGAGATCTCAGGTCGACTCCGCCCACGGACGAGAAATTTCATTTTTCATGCAGATACCTTGGCCCAGGGTGTTTGCAAACACCCCGTGCCCTGTCTCGCGCTCTCCAAGAGGCCCTTAATTATTCCCAAAGGCGTCCAGAAATTCGGACTTCGCCCTCCGAAACCCATGACCCAAAGCGCGGCCACCGATGGCGAGCTATGCGACTCACTGGGCTTTAGGACTACCTTGAAGCGACTGGCCGAGCCAGGAGAAGTCGCGAAAGTCATCGTCTTTCTGTTGAGTAAAGAGGCCAGCTATATAACCGGAGCGCTAAGTCCGTGAAGCCACAAATACCGCGAGGTTGCTCAGACTTCCAGGTCATCAACATCGACGGTGGGTTCTCGTAGCCAGCCAGGGAGCAACAGCAGGGAGATTTGGCCATTCTCACGTGCGTTCCGGCGGAAGGTCTGTCAAGTATCCCATTTGGAGGAAATCTGTGAAGGAGGCCGTGCCACGGCCGGACAAAAGGTGGGAAGGTTCATGATCACCTCGTAGAAGAGTACTATAGAAGGCGCCCAGCTAGGTAGTTCGAGTACGTCGGCGTGGTGTCAAGTCAGGATCCCGCAGTATCTTAAACAGGTCTCATCGTCTAAAAATGACCAAAGTTTGTGCTATGAATAAAGAGGCAGAAGGAAGACTAAAAGGCTGAGGCAGACTGCGGTAAGGGACTGGGAGCCATCAGAGATCGCTCAGGAAGCTGCGGGTGAGCCGAGGCTGAGTACCGAGTAGAGTAGCGAGCGGGAAATCATAATAATGACGAGATGGGAAGACCCACAGGAGCCCTAGTAGGCCCTAGTAGGCCCTAGTAGCCCTACTAAGTAGTTGCCATAGCAAGGCCTAAGCAGGCCCTAAATGCCGTGCTGCTCCGACGTAGGAAATTCCACAGCCTGTCCAACACTCCTCCGAACTCAACTCCTCCAATCCAAGCACCTAATCTAGTGGCTTCTTCAATTTCTGCCCTCGCCAACCTCAGTCTCTGGGAAAGCGTCCACACCACAGCCAAATGAGGCGATATGTGATTGCCGGCGCGTCACTTTGCCGTGCAGTATCGACAATCAGGATGGCGAGTGGTTCCAGCACGCCCGTGGAGGACACGATTCGGAGAAAGGTGAGTTGTGATCCAGCCTTGCTTCAGTCATGCAAAGCCAAGGAGAACACTACGGCGTTTCTGAAAGGCCCACATCCATCAAGTCCCTTTCTCTCACATCCTCAACGGGTCCTCTCATACACGGCCTAACTTGCAGGATAGGTCACGGAGGCATTAAACCCCACCAACCTCACGATTCGGAACGACTCACATCTCCATGCCCACCACAAGGCTATGGCAGGCTCGACTTCGAAAGAAACTCATTTCTTGTAAGTAACTCTATTCACCTTCAGATGTCTCGGCGGTCACTCTGTCCGGTCCCGGCCTCAATGTGGACTTTTCAAAGGTTATGGCCACATCCGACGATTTCAGAATGTCTATCAAAGTAGCCTTCTATGGCCATTCCCAGTCTTGTCCTCAACCGCTCCACATGACTTCGTCCTGGCAATCTTCATCAATCTTTGGCCCCTCTTGTTCTTTCCGGTGTTTCCTACTCGATATCCGTTATGGCTTCTCCCCAAGTCGTCGTTCTTCTTCCATCCTGACGCATGACCAGTCTCGACATTACATCGCCTTCATTCCAATCGAAACCCCAACCCGCGCGGCACAGGATGATCTACTCGCTGCTGAAAGAGGAACTCGATCAACCTGGCGGAATCCACGCTCTACAACTTCGGACCAAGACCCCGGAGGAGGTAGAGAGGGAGCTCGCAAGGCTGAATGGAGCTCAGGGCGCGGTGTAAAATGTTCAACTCGGATTGCGACGCGGGGGTGAGAGAAGATGGCAAAGCGTACGGCGAATGGGGAGTTTCGGCTGGGGGCAAGGACAGGAGAGCGACGACGCTTGCGTGCCAGAATTCAGAGCTTGTTCGAACTTACTCTAGACAGGGTCGCTGTCTATTCGCAAACTGAATCCCTTCCTTTCAAACAGAGTCCGCTCCTCTCGACAGCCAAAATCTACCCGCCCATCGCGCTCGTTCAAATCAAGATATACCATATCCTCGCTTCCGTGGCATTCAACAGGAAGCTCCTTGACAACACGCGCACCATTCGTATCTAGTCGAGAAGATATTCGGAATACTCGGTGTATTTTCTGTCTTTCCTCGCTTCCCTGTCTCTCTCTTTCTCTCTTTTTCCTTTTTCTTTTCCTCCCTTTTGTGCCCGATCCTCCCTCCGAGAGCGATTGAGGGCTCCGTCTAATAAAGTCGAGCGAGTTGAGGCAATAGTCAGCTAACTAAATGTGATTTTATAGAGAGGACTATAGCCATTGTCCGTTACTCATATCCCTTGTTCACTGCCTCTTCCTCTTTTTGAAACAAGCACATACGCTTATGTCTACATAATATAGCCGTCAGCTCCTCAAGCGAACTGGCAACGAAAAAGACATTGGACGGGCAGACAACCTACTCTGCTCCTGCTGCTGCTACGCCGTTGTGGAAGACGGAAGGAATCACACCTCCATCGAAAAGAGCTCGAAAAGGGATTATTAGTGAGGAGTGTGTGTATCTAATGGGCGTTTTGATGCTGTACAATGACACCCAACCGACCATCTGGAGATCCCCCTACAGTGACAGAGGGGATCGGAAACAAACAAATGAGCATTTTGCGCCGGCTTTTTCTGCTAAAACATATGAGATTCTGAAAACCCTCCTTGCCGCCTTCCCTAGCCTTCTCTATCGCGCTCGCGCTCCGATGATCCACACGAACACGAGCCATGTCGAATCTCCGGTGATCCAAAAACAAACTAAAAAGAACCAGGGTACATTGTGGTCTGCTTCGCCAACGATAGATGCCGTCCATTTCCATGGACATCAAGTAAAATGTGGACTTGCGAGACTCAAACCGTGTTGTGGAACCACCAGTTCCAAGCATGTCACGATTCCCGCAAACGACTGAACATGGTTTTGTGATTCAAGATGGTGAATGACTGTTGCTGCCGAAATACTAATGATTATTCGTAACCGTAACAGCCACCGCCACGACCACGGCAATAATGATGATAATGAGGACTAGATAAATGTTAGCACGTCCACGCATGCGGAATTCGACAACCACTCACCAACAATGCCTAAGCATATCCACTTCTTGCGACGGGCAGCTCGGGCCTTGACGACTGCACCCTCAAGCTCAACATTTGCCTTGGCTACATGTTCTGCGACCTGCTCGCCTTGCTCCTCAATCTGGGTGACTGCAGGTTCTTGCTGGACCACCAATGCCTCGAGGTCTTGGAAGAGCTGAGCAAGCTCAATCATCTGTCGTTCAATCTTCTGGATATCTTCGTGACGCTGAGAAACGTTTCGCGCCACGGTCTGTGCTTCACCACGCCGGTCGCTCTGGATCAATGCAGACGAGAAGATTTGTTGGTTATTAGGATCTTCCACAGCTTCGCGCACTTCTGCGTCTGACGCGTCGGGGCGGACAATTCGGTATTGTCTGGCCATCTGTTCTTGGGACGCTTTTCGGAACTCCCGTTCGACTTGTTGATACTGATTGATTGCCGTCTTCAATCTTCGGTCAATCTTGCCAACTTGGGGAGCATTGCGCGGGTTTCCGGATTCCGGTTGTTGCTTGATGCCCTTGACGCGGCTAACGAGACCGCGGTATTTTGTCATGATTGTTTCTCCTGTGCGGTCGACCTCCATGCGCAGTGGCGACTGGGCGGAGGTGTTCGTGTCGGCCAGGTATCGTGATTGAAGACCCTTAAGACGCTGTAGATCTGCCTCGATTTCATCGATGGCCTGGTCGACGGCCCGACATTCATTGAGGATTCGGTTGGGGTCGGTACCATTCATGTTTCTCATTTCTGGATAGGACGGATTAGCCAGCAATCCCGTAATCAAGAGATTTTCGAGATTCGTGTACCATAACCGCCTTGCTGCTGTTCCCCTTGAGCATAATAGCTGCTACCTTGTTGCTGGGGTTCCGGACGGTCACTGTAGTTTCCCTGATTGCCGTATCCATCATTTTCATAGCCTCCCTGAGCGTAAGGATTTCCCGCTTGTCCGTAGGGATTATAGGTTCCGTAGCCCTGGTTGGACTGAGGTGGATGTTAGCAACAGTTCTTGGAAGGGAGTGCGTACAACGACGGTAGGATTCTTTGACTGCGCCTCAGGACTTGAGAACAGGGTAGGGCGACCCAATGTCAGCTCTATCGGGATGGTGACAACATACACTCATGATGACAGAAAAATGAGGCGGATATTAAAGGCGTATAGGTGATAATGAAGGTTCAATTGATTGCTCCCGAGGGCGCAAGAAAGGGTGTATGAAGCTAGAAAGACAGGAGGTTTACGCGCAATTGAGTCGTGTACGCGATACAGGAAATTGGACGAGAAGGGATAAATGGAGGAGGATGAAGGTCTAAGATAGGAGCCGAATCAGCAGCGGCTGAATAGAAAATCTGAGAGAAGAAAGGAACTTGGGGTGCTGCGAAAGAAGGCGGGCTGAGTGATCCCAGCTATTACAGTACGAGGAATCTGATCAGCTCGGGACGGAGTAGAGAAGCAAGGAAGCGGCGCGGGAGGGAGCGAACTGCAGCGAAAGGGATTGGGACCCTTGGGTGTGCAGTTCTTATTCCATAGGGGAGCCTAGAGGCTCCTCGGACCCTACAAACCCTACTGGTACTAGTTCACTGGCCCTAGAAGCAGCTGCACCCAGGCTTGGACCCGAAAAAAGTCTGGGCACGCTCTTCCACGCCTCATGCTTAAAGAGGGGGGCTTCGCCCGCCTACCAGCCTCGGGGTCTAGCGGCTTTAGCTGCGCGGTGGGGAAGAAAATGTGCGAACTGGACTGCGACGACTGCGCAAGACTGCGGCTGTGCCACAGCAACTACTACCCGGTCCATACAAGACTCCCATACAGACAACGTTCATTGTCGACAGCATGATCATCACTGGACCGTCTAAAACGCAAGTCAGCGCTTGCCCCGTTCTGCCTTGCCTTTTCCGACGTCGTCCGGATGAGATAATTTGATGGATGCTCCAGCACCAGCCCGGACCTTGCAACGACTCTGACAAACCATTGCCTCGCTAGAAGCCTGCACCACACCTCGCACCCAATCAAACCACTCCCAATCTTACTTTAGCATGGGGAACGCTTTCCTACTTCACCAGTGTTGCCAATTAATACGCCTCAGGCACAAGAGAAGAGATGGACCACTGGCGTGGGGACTGTCACCGCAGATATCGTTTCAGCAATTGCCTGAATTCTTGCCCATGTCGGCCAATGCTTCACTTGGTAGAATTGTGGTGATTATGATCGTCGCCATTGAGGGATGGCGTTTTTTGGCCGCTGCCACCATCTACGGGCGGAGAAAATCTCACATGGCCCCTCCAGTAGTCTTCTGTGGCGTGATATAGGCACCGACCTTTGAATTCCATCTGCCTGGAGCGAAAACAGACTTCTCGGAAAGGGATGTTGGCGGCACCAATAACGACCCGTCAGTGACAAGCTCTCCGCCACAACCCCCACAACGGTGCTAGAGCCTCGCTCCATCCGATCCACAAGGCCTTCCAGGGGCGCAAGGCTGCGACGTTAAATGCCATCAGTATTGGCCGTCTGATCCATCACCATCGCCTTGATTCATCACCCTCCCGCCATTCCTTCTCCGTGTAACCAAGACGACGTTTGACATCTTGGACTGTGCGCTCATCGCCTGTGTTCTTGCCAATATTGTCGGACAACTTGATTGCCGGTCTTCCACCCGCTTTCGACAATTTGATGACGATGTTGAGCGGTTTAGATTTAACTTGAGGGTCTGATTTATGCGTGAAGTCGTTCGTGAAGAATGTGCCAACCCCAAACGAAGGCTTGAATCCGTAGGCTTCGGCCATTTCCCTGTATTCCAGGCACTTTTCCACATTGAGGGCGTCTGAGAACACAATACTCTTTTTGCTCACCCCTATAGAGTTGTAGAAGCTATCAGCGCCTTTGATGTATTCTTTGGGATCACCAGAGTCTTGCCTGATGCCTGCATAAACCTCAGCGTACGAAGGCTGCCCACCTGCCGGCTTGCTTTCGTCGGTATACTTTGTAGATTCGTCTCGCGAGGCTGAGGTCTTGGCAGGTACCTGTTTCCTGAAGGCCCTGAAGAAGTCCGCTGTGCCGAATGTATCTGTCAGTGCAATGCCCAGAACGCCTTTTCCGAAGCAGTCAAGCCAGTATCTGAGGCCATTTTCATTGGCATGTTCATAATCATCGGTAAGCGCGGCAATCCCCATGTACCATTCGTGGGCTACCGTTCCAATGGGTGGGATGCTATACTTCATCGCAAAATATACATTGCTTGTACCCGATAGCTTCCCCGGCAAGTCTTTCTCGTTTGATGCTCTTACTAGGCCTTTGATCACGAGGTCTTGAGTATGAAAGTCGCGCCTTCTTCGAGAGCCGAATTCGGAAACAACGCAGCCTGCGCTGAATAACCGCATTCCCTTCTCATATGCCTGCTCCTCTTGCCCTTGGTAATCCCAGTCCTTGTCAACGAACTTGAAATATGCTTCGCTTGTCAAGGCGAGGAGGGGGATTTCGTAGAGGATTGTCTCGACCCAGAGGCCAGTGACGGTGATGTGGAGGTCTCCGTATGTTCCATCGACCGGTTTGAACTCCAGGTGCACTTGCTCAGCGGGTCGGAGTCGAAACTTTTGCAGGTAGTCAAGGTAGCCGGAGGTTAGGTAGGCGCAGTGCTTCCTCAGATATTCTAACTCTTGCTGTTCAAGTGCGATATTCCCTAACTTCGAAATCTGTCCTTTCAACCAGTCGAAGGCCTCTTGGTCCAATCGCATCTGCGGGGTGCGATTGGTGAACTTATATTCAACATCGACTGAAGGGAAATACTTCAGGATCGCACACTGCATCGTCAACTTGTAAAGGTCAGTATCAAGGAAGGAGAAGACGCCTTCGGGCAGCTTAGGTTGTGCCATCTTAACAAGCACGAGACCAACTCAACCGAGACCACATCCGAGAGATGGAGGAGAAGTTGTGCAAGTCTGCCTGCAGACTTCTAATATGCAGCCTCCTGCAAAGCAGAACAGCCGTAGCACAAGGCCTGTCAGAGTTGCAGTGACAATCGTCTGATATCAGACCTGCGTGTTTGTCCGCAGGACTGTGACATAATATCCCCAGCGAGCCAGCGAGGCAGATAAAGCAACAGCCGATATTTAGCCGACCGATTCTCATCATGTGATTGACAAGCAAAGTTTCATTGGCAGCTCAGCCGCTTTGGGTAACAAGTAGTGGAAGGTGGGAGCCTTGATGACTAAGACTCTACCCTATCGCTTAGGTCCAGACGCCAAGACCATCCGTGCCTCTTTGCACCATTCGTGCGGGTTGCTACCATCATCACTACTGCGTATGTACTTGCTATGGCTGAATACTTATGCAGAATTGAGAGGAATATCCTGTACATACTTCTCTAACCGACGAATCGCAGTTTGCCTTACTTCTTGTGCCTCTTCATACTCGCCGGCTGCAACGAGCGCCTCCACCAGCAGCCACATCTCCCTCACGACTTCTGGATCTGTTTCCGCGTGGGCGTATTCGCGGAGAGCCACAATAGATCGAATCCGCTCGACTGTTTCCAAATGTGGCACAGGTCCATCGCCCCGGTGCTCCGGTTTGATGTCCATTAACGTCCTCATCGCCCACGCGACCTTCGCCGCTTGAACACGCGAAATACTCGTCGTCACGCTACTAGCTGTACTCGACGGTTTTATGACGGCGTGCCATTCTTCAAGAATTGTGGTTGTCACCAGAACGGCCAGGATGCGCAGCAACATGGTGGTGTCACCGGACCCCTTAGTGAGGATAGAATTCAGATATTCCCGAAGCGCGACATCGCTGCTCGTGCGGAGCATCTCGTAGTCCCGAGGCGGCGAGGCGTCCACGCGTGGGGCCAGCAGGCGCTGTAACAACCTGTCCGTCGCGATAGAAGTGATGTCAAGAAGGCCTTCAGCTTGGCGGGCCTCCGCTGCGAGGCGGGAGGCCTGCTGCGCCTCGAGGTTGCTTACCCATTCGTTCGCTGTGTTGACGATGGCCAAAGGAGGGGCGATCGAGCACGCGTTGCAGTGCATGTGACAATAGAGCGAGAACAGGCGAGGGTCAAAATGGTCCAAGACGATCTCCGCGTTGAGGGTCCATCCCCGCTCTAATAGAGATGCAAGAGAGTAAGAGAGGAGCCACGGGCCGGCGGTGGTCGTTGTCTTACTACCGCTGGAGGGAGAGGGTGAACCCGACGACGACCACGACAACGTCGATACAGAGTTCCTGGGGGTAGAAACCGCACTTGTTAGACTCGCGACGAGTCCTCGCAGCCCGCGCAGCATGGCAGAGATGGGATGAGACTTTGGCATCCGGCCGTCTATCAGTGCAGTGAGATGGGCCAGAAACATCTGAAAGAGTTGCGGATGACGCAGCGCCACCATATGGTGCATCATCTCAAGCAGGTTCCACACCAGCGCCGGCCCTTCGAGCGTCAACATATCTTCAATCAGCAGGAATCCCTTTCGGGCCATCCTGCCAGCCAAATTGCCATGGCCTTGGTCCAGCAGATCCATCACTAGCTTGAACGTGAAGCTAATCTTGTCGGTTTGTTCAGGCCAAGGCTGATTTATCGGGAGCTGCCGCTGAGACGCGAGGATCCCATGATGGGACTGGATATGCTCGAAGAATGCCATGCTGCATTTCCGCACACTGGTCAGGAACATGAGCATCAGGCCGTCATCATGGGCGAATCCGGGGAACGCAGGCACCGAGCCCAGCTCTCCCGGTGGATCAAACTCGCTGCTCGCCCCTTTCTTGCCTTCATCCTTCATCAAAGTCGGCACAGCAGCGGCCGAGCGTCTGGAATTCTTCTGGAACCCCCACTTGGCGAAGCGCTTCTTATACATCTGCTCCCTACAGGCAAACGCCATCAAAATCAGTCCACCCTCAAAACGCGCTTCTCCACGTGGCTAAAGCTGCAAAAAGACTCGAGGCAGTGACGGTGAAGGTAGGTGAGGCTTACGTCGCCTTGAAAGCGTGCTCCCTCTCCATGTATTGCATGATATACCGCAGCTTCCGACGCTCGCGGATGTATAGTCGTTCAATCTCGGAGTGCATAGCCGCCCACTCCTTGTGCGTCGGCAATAGCTGTTGCGCCGGAACAACAAGCGCGGCTGGCCACCTCGGCCGAGGAACCAATGGAGGGAGTGCCATCGTGGTGGGCATGACGGAACATCATGAACCGACTGCGTCGAACTTTTTCCTTTGGCTTCATTTGATGAAGCGGAAAGAAAGGGGTATGAAGACCAACGATATTAAATACGCAGAAGAGACTCGGCGAGTTGGGCTGGGGCTGGCATGGGCCGGCCAAGAGGCCTTGTCTGCGCCCTGCCAATCAAAATGCGGGGAAAAGCTCCGTGCAGGACTAGCGCCGATCTTCTCGTGGCTTGGCACCAGAGGAACCAAGCGGAGCGGAAATACCAAGTTGGTATCGCAGGCACATCGCGTCTTCGCTTTAATTCCAAAGACAGCTTTGGCTCGGCTGAAGATGAATGGACCACCTTTCCCGGGTCCAGCAGCGGGGCCCTGTCTCAAGGAGCACTTACAGGAGCATTCCCTGTCGTTGGCCAAATGGATACCGGATGGCAATTTACGCCGTCTCCGCGTGTGCGGTGACTCTTAAGGATGGACGACTTGACGCTGCTTTCCCTCTGCTCCATTTTGTCCCTTTCTTGTTTCTACCAGCACACAAGTGAGGACTGTTGAGACAGTCCTCGGTGTTTTTGAGGAGAAAGCTTCTCGATTCGACGTTGAAAAACTCCCATCGGCTCCCTTGACCGTTGAACGTCATTTTCACCATTGTCCTGCCTTCGGACACGATGGCTCTGCCAAACGACAAAGTTATAGTCGCTGTTGGAGGGACCGAATCGCCCACACCTCCAACCTTGGACACCTTCGATGCGAACCATGTTAACGACGGCCGCAGCGCACACCGGGAAAAGTCCGTTCAGAGCATATCTGACGACCAGTATCCGCATGGATTGAAACTGGTACTCGTCGCAGGGGCGTCTGTCATTGCTGTCTTTCTTATTGCATTGGACCAGGTGAGCACTCTAAACACTTATATTGAGACACTGTAAACAACACATCTGACACTAACGGCGTGTAGACTATCGTCGGCACAGCAATTCCAAAGATAACGGACGAGTTCCACGGCCTCAGGGACGTATCATGGTATGCCGCTGCCTACTTCATGACTTTCGGCGCTGCTCAGACGTCGGCGGGCAAGATATACAAGTACTTCAACCTGAAGTGGAGCTTCCTGGTCTCCATGCTCATCTTCGAGGTTGGTAGTTTGATCTGTGGAGTTGCGCCTAGCTCCAGGGCATTGGTCGTTGGACGGGCCATTGCTGGATTGGGTGGTGCTGGCCTGTCGGTAGGTGGCACCAGTATCGTTTCCTTCACTGTGCCGCCGGCAAAGCGACCGATGATGATGGGCATCATCGGAATGACATATGCTATTGCTGCCGTCCTGGGACCGCTGATTGGTGGCATATTTTCTGACCACGTCACTTGGCGATGGTGCTTTTACATCAACCTACCGATTGGGGGACTTGCCGCTGTTGCTGTCTTCTTCTTTTTCCATCTTCCAACTGCTGCAGCACCTCCTCAGGTCTCTTGGACGAAGCGGCTGTTGCATATGGACCCGGTTGGGGTCGCTTTGGCCATGGGAGGCATTACCTGCTTCATCCTCGCTCTTCAGTATGGAGGAAACACCCATCCCTGGGACAGCAGCATCGTCATCGGTCTCCTCGTTGGCTTTGGGCTCCTTGCGATTGTCCTGGTAGGATGGGAGATCTGGTTGGGTGACTATGCCATGATGTTGCCGAGACTCTACAAACAGCGCTCACTCTCAACCACGGCCCCTTATCAGTTCTTCTTCATGGGGAGCTACATTATTCTCCTGTACTACCTCCCCATCTACTTCCAAAGTATTCTCGGTGCAAGCCCTATCAAATCCGGCGTCAACAACCTGCCTCTCGTACTCGCGGCGGCCGTTTTCGCCCTTGCCGGCGGAGCTGTCGTTATGAAGACGGGTCGTGCGCAGCAGGTCATATTTGTTGGCTCAATGCTTTCCACCGTTGCCATTGGCCTGATTTACACGCTCGACATTGGCACCTCGACTGGGAAATGGGTTGGCTATCAGCTTTTCGTCGGAGCTGCCATGGCCTTTGCCATCATGCATGGTTTGACTATTGCTCAGGCCAATGTGGGTCCCGAAGATCTTGCAGCCGTCACGGCCAACCTTTTGTGTATGTACCCATCTCCCCTCTTCCCTTGGCTCTGCGGTATAGGTCAGGGAAAGCTAACTGACATTTTGAACAGTTTTCCAGACGGTTGGGGGTGCGTTCAGCACTTCGGCAGGACAGTCAGCCTTCGTCAACAGACTCCTTGCCACTCTGCCCAAAACGGCCCCAGGAGTGAATCCACGCCTGGTGCTTTTGACAGGCGCCTCAGAGCTGCATAACCTCTTCTCACCGGACGTGCTTCCTGGAGTCCTGAAGGCGTACATGGTCGGTCTCAAGGCAGCTTTCGCCGTCGCAGTTGCCTTCTCAGGCGTCGCATTTTTGTGTTCCTTGGCCATTCCCATGGAGAAGCTTCCGAGCCATGCGCCAGATAAAGCTCCCATGGTGATGGGTTAGTTCAGCAGAGCGTGCGACATGCAGGTCTCACCAACGTCATCGCGTATCCTGTCTCTCCTCGCGATGTGCCACGGTGGAGCTCTCAACTGCGACCCCCTGAAGGGTATTCCTTCTGTGGACTGTTCTCATGGAGGGACGAAATGCTCCTCAAGGGTTCCCTTCGAGTTCTGATGTCATTTCCCTGTTGTGGACTTGTTGTTGAAGAACCTCCTGTTACTCCTATTATGGGAATGCTGATCTTAACATAGTGATCTCTCGTCATTCCTGAGCGGCGATTGTTTGTAGGCCACGCAACATTCTGGTATTGGTGGCCGGATTCAGGGGAACCCTTCTGGTTACAGACCAATCTGCATATAAATGGCAAGGAACATTCTCCGAGAGAACACGAATAGACTGGATAAATAGCCCATGCAGTTGTTGCAAGTTGCTAGTCCACCACCATTTTCAATTGAGCCACGCACGGCGAAGAGCACGATTGATTTTCTGGTAGCTTTCTCATGGAACGATTCATGCCTCCCTAGAGTGCGAATTTTCGCTATAGGCCTATTGACTGACATTGCCCACGGCGAGAGCATCGCCAGCAGTAAGTCGATGGGTGTCGACATCTTGTTTCACAGTTGACCCGCTTGTGTCTCGTGGCAATAATCGCCAGGATGAGATAGATCTGTGCCAATCAGAACATTAGCGTGCCTAAGCGCCATTCCCATTCTCCTTATTAGATGCATCTCTGGGCGGACCCATGGTATTTCCTTGCACTGCCATGTCGGTCGCTTGGACTGTCGTCACTGCGTAGCATCGTTCCCATCTCCAATCTCCTATCCTGCCGGCGGTCATCGCCATCACGATCATGAGAGATTACTACCCCGTCTCGTCTCCAGGGGACTGCGATACAACCAACATGCAAATCGAATTTCACTTGGCTGAGGTCCGATCGGAACATCACCACGATTCCGGACTCTGCTTATTCCCTCAGCGTGACGAATTCAAGGCATCCCTCCTCGTAGATCTCCCCAGCCAACCAAGACACTTTACTACTAAACAATAGTATCTAGATTCAATGGAAAGTTGACGAAAGAGCAGCGCTGTTACTTTCGCTTTAGTAAACTTGAAGCAAAAGAGCCTCACGACAATCCAATTCGTTCAGGGCCAAGCCCACTTGCCCTGTGAGGACCGAGTCATACCTATCCGAGAATAAGTGGAAGCAAGCGGTGCCGCTGTTGGTCAAATGGAGCGAAGGACGCCAAACCACTTGCCATGCAGGGCCCTCAGTTTCGGGGGTCTGTGACTTCTTGTTGCAGGGGCTCCTGCATCCATGAGAAGTGGTCCAACCGGCACTTGAAGCTTGGATCATTGTTATTGCACCTATCACTTCTAGGCGGGGATATTGTCCTCGGTCTTCTCGAAGGCCTCAAGCAAACGATAAACGTAACCGACCTGAGGTGGCTTCGTGTGGCTGCTTCTCACTCTGCTTCTGACTGATTTCTGATCGGGGTCCCTGGCTGCTCCCTCAGCGTTCTCTGTTATAGGCGTGGTCCGTCTCCCAAAGGAGGGCGAATGGCAAGCCTCCTTATTACTCTGCATGATGGATCCATTCAAACTGGTTTCCGTGACTCAGGCGGATGGTGGTGGTCGTGATACCTGACACCCTGAAGGATTGATTGTCGAGTATTGTAGGAGCCAGAGGTATAACAGTCGAGAGTCTTCCCCATCCTCGAACTCTGGTCTCTTTCACTCTGTTCCAGCAGCCCTCCGGTGTTTCGTCCTCTCCATTTCTGTTAGGAACATTTCCAGATCCCTGGAGAATCGTTTCCACTCCTCTATTCTCTTCTGTTTTTCATCATGTCGTCAGGACCCAACACACACCCTGCAAATGATATGAGCACCCGCAAGAGCATGGCCGTCTCGAGCACACGAGTGGGTGATTCTGGTGCAGTTGCCGTGGGCGACATAGGTGTGTTCCAAGTGCGGCTTGCTCAGCAGGGTCAAATTCTGAATCCTCTTAGATTCGGCCACGGGAACCGCGTCCAGCCAACTTCTTCGCTTTCAAAACTCTCCGCCTCAGAGCGATCCATGGCATCCGAATCGGGCTGATCGAAGACACCTCCATCATCTTATCACCAAGGTCGACGGCATCATGTCCGTAATCGATGGTTTGGGCACCGGGTGTTGATTTGGCTCTGCATTTACGGCCTCTGCGTCGATGCTGGTGGTGAACGGCGAATTTCTTTTACATAACCACCATTTTGATGTCGACCCTTTCTTCTTTTCTCTCTCTCTCTCTCTCGGTTGCAGGATTATTACCCCGCATGAGATTCAGTGTGCCCCGCTTGATCGCGAAAATGGCTCATCTTCCCAAAATTCATGGTGTTGATGGTTGATTGTGGTCTGTGTGCTGTCCTCTTGATGGTGGTGGTGTTGACATTGATTTCTCATGGTCCTGGCAACATTATCGTGTTGTGATGTCGGAACTCATGGATCATACTATGAAAACACTCATTGAAGCAATAGAGATGCGCTGCTGATGTTCTTGAGCCGCCGCGTTGGCAGCATTGTTGGTGCGCTCGGTTGGTGAGAGTAATTTGTGAAGCCGCCTGAGCGGCGTTGCCTTGTCGCAATTTGCGATGCCCCTGCGAGCCCGTGGAGCTTTGAAGCCTCGAGTGGTTGGTTGCCTTTTAGCGGGCAGTGCCGTCACATGACATGCTTAGTTTCCTTGTTGACACGCTCGTCATTTAACTCTTTCACGCCTTGCCTCCACAGTCTTCCGTCATATCACAAGCCAATCACCCAAAAAAAGAGACTGTATCTGACACTACCAAGTATGTCTGACAGTCGAAAATGCGGGAATTTCCGATTTTGTACAAGTAATGTGATTCTGGACTGCCAAGACATGTAAAGACTGTCACGCTCGTCTTCGACCGAAGGCCTTCGACTAGCAACAACCGCCCCTGTCTGCCCCCGTGTGATTTACCAGACAGTATATAGTCAGGTAGGTTCCCGATGGCCTGAATAATCTACTAGGTCCTCTATTGAGGTACACTAATTCAATCAGCACTCGAAGATTGCCTGATTGCCCTGATTGAACGCTCGAAGAGTTGATGGTGACTTTCCACGCGTTCACTCAACCTTTGCTACAAACACCCACTCATTCTGTTAAGAATAGCTGTCGACAAGCTGCAAGACATGAACATTCAATGCTCCCCGTTCTCCCCCCTTTTGTTTCGCCTGGCTAAAAGCACCCTAAAGCGTCACCACCACCTTCGACCCGGACACTCCAGCACGCAACTTATCAACAGCTGCCTGAATATGCTCGACGCCGTGGTCGATGACATCCGATGGCGGGGCCGGCTTGATCAGCCCTTGTTCGAGCGCCCGCGGCAGGAAGTCTCCGTATATTGCTTTCCCAAGCGCCTTGTCTTGCTGGAGGATAGACACGGCGTAGACTGACAAATCTCTTAGTATTGGAAAACGGCACACAGGTGCTGGGGAACTTACTGCCTCTGGCTTCCACGGTTGCTGGCAGTTCCTTGATAGGGGCCAGCACAACCGCCATCCTCCCTCCCCCAAGCTGAGACAGTACCTGCGCCACATTCAACTGCGTATCTCTCGTCGCAATAGCTACACAAAACGACTCCAATTAGTGCCTCGTCGGTCCGATATCCACGACGACAGTATCAGGCTTACCATCAAAAGCTCCCCGACACGCCCATTTTTGCAATGCCGCCGTCAATTCCCCGACAATCCCAGGGCTAGTGTGGTCGAAAACCTCACTCGCGCCCAGCTTTCTGCACAGGTCAAAGTTTCGCGGAGAGGCTGTCGTTACGACTTTATATGTGGCGGCGACAGCCAGCTGTATCGCGGCGCTTCCGACGCTAGAACTGCCTCCCCAGACGAGGATGGCCTCTTCAGGGTGGCCCTTCTCCATGGCATCCGTGGGAGTCATTAGACCCATCCTCTCCTCATGAAAGAGCCCTATGCTGGCCGTCGAGATGGCCAGGGGAAGTACACACGCGTTGTCGTATTTCATCCCGTCCGGAATCACGCAGCACCCCACAGTCGGAACGACAGCGTACTCCTGAAACGCGCCATACTTGGACTCGTTGGTAGCCAGACCAATGCAGTGGGCGAGCACCCTCTGACCTTGGGCGAACTGCGTGACGCCCTCGCCGACCTCGACAATGTCGCCGGCTACATCGTTGCCGAGGATCCTCGGCAGCGGGCCGGCTGGGAAAGCGCCGTATTGCATCATCCAGTCGACGGGATTCATGGCGACGGCGCGGTTCTTGATGAGGACTTCGTCGGGGCCCGGCTTGCCCATCTCAGCGGGCCCAACTTCGAGCGTCATGTTCAGTTCGCGGAGCCACGCGGCGCGGTTCTTGGGTGCCGCCATTGCTTGAAATCGACTTGGTGCTATCTATCTATTCTCTTCGGACCACTTTGGAGACGATCCATAAACCCTTGAGAATAGAAGCAGCCGAGAGAGAAATACTAGCGGCCTAGCAGAGAGATCAGGGATTTGTAATGATAGACGAGGCTGTTATATACCTAACGAGGACTCCTTGGGGATCTCCACAAAATAAGCCCCGCTGAATCAGTGGGCCTGACATCATCTCTCATGAATCTTACTAACCGACGAACTCAATGGCAACATGGAGTGTCTACAGAGTACCTCTCGAACTACATAGCTTGCCAGCTGGCTAGTGAGAATACACACCTACGAGGCAGCTTTGGCAGCGCAGGACTGACCGGTGTCCTCGCGAGGTCATCTGTGTGTTTGTGTGTGCTCGTTCCCCTACGTCGAATCAGTTCTCCGTGCTTAGTATATAACATCACCGATGATGCCGCGGGTCTGAATTACGGTAATGATACCAGCTAATGACATTGGTCCATCCTTCCAGCTCTCTTTCTCCAATAGGCCGTCCCGACGAATCACTTTGTTTTTGGGCTATTGAGGACATTTTGCTCTGGGCATCACAATGCGAGCCTCCTGCTTTCCGCTTCAGTAGGTCGCTTGCACCGTTTGCTGGCATCCAACGTTTGTATGCTAGAGCATTGGAACCGAAATTTTAAAGCACTGACCCAAAGTACGAAATCCCGAAATCCTTTCTTGCCGACTTGAAATCAATGGTGCCTGCAATTCCACCATTTGTGTCGTAATTCCTGCTGCAGTCGGCTTGTCTCTAAGGCTTGTAGTTGGCCCTGAAGGATGCCATCATAATCGTGCTTGAATCAATTGGCGCAGTGCTCCCCTGGTTGTCAGCGTTGTATTGAGTGCTGATCCAATCGTGGCCTTGACCTATCACGTTGTATCTCACTACCAGGCCGGCCTTCCCTCCGCAGTCGTATTGTGTGCAGTAGGCCTTGTGGCTCTGCAGCTGATCGATTACGGGGATGGGGGAAGGACTACATCTATTGCGAGTCGCCTACGTTCTGAGTACGTGCGGATGCTGGAAGCGGTGCCCCGTGCGAGGTATCGCCGTTGTAGTTGACCGTGTTATCATTGGTACCGTGTAGCTCGAGGATGGGTATGGGCGAGCGGGCTGGTCTACAGCCGCAGCCATCAGTTTCAGTGTATATCGCCGCAGCATCCATGGCCAAAGCCGCGAAATCCCCGCCATGGCCAGGAGAACAGGCAAGCTCGTCGACCAACCCTCCACCGATCGACTTTCCCGAGGCGTAAATCCTAGAATTGTTCACACAATAGTTGTCGCGCATGTAATTGAGCAGATCGGAGATGAACACCTTATCCGATACGGCATTGGTGTAGATGGTGCCCCTTGCCAGCAGCGCTTTGGTGGATTACCCATAGGTAGATCGTTTGGGAACACCGCGATTGTGTCGTTGTTAATACCAGATTCAGTGAATTTTGAGAGCGTTACCTGATAATCCGTGTCTTTACCATTGCCATGGAATGAGGGAAGCATTGGGCTAGATGTGGTCTAGTCATAGCTGCTGGGAAGGTAAACAGCGAAGTCTTTGGATAAGTGACTGTTATAGTCATTATTGTGGCAAAAGAGGAGAAATACAATTACCTATTTACACCACTGCTGGTCAGACTGAAGTGTGTGAGAGCGCCTATTCCAGTATGTGTCTGCTCACAGCCTCCAGAGAGTGTCGTCAGGACCGAAGCGCTAGAGGTCACGGCAGTTACCAGCGCCAGTGCGAGCAACAATCGAGACTGGACCATCCTGACGGTAGATGGCTAAGTAAGATCGAAAGAATAAGAGACAGTAGAAAGAAGCAGAGGGTTTTCTGATGTTGAATTCTGAGATCGAGGTTGAGCGAGATATTGACCCCTTTTATGACTTAGAAATGCCCGACGAACGCGGTCTCGAATGGTAAGGATGGTTCACAGTGGTCTTGTCTTGTACGTCCACATCCCGATGAGGGGAGACACGAAGACTCAATGAAGCAGCGCCCGGCTGGCGGTCTGCGTGACCAGAAGGGAGCTCCATCGAATCAAAAAGCTGGCCTAGTCGTTGGAATCTGTCGCAACGGTCATAGTCAGCTCACAACCTCTCGGCGCCTCCTTTCCTCACGGCTGAAGACTGGACGCGACCAGAAAGAAGCTTCATTACATTCGGTCTCCAATCCATTCGATGATATTGGAATATTTGCGGCAACGACTGAGCCTGTACTTCCACATGCGAATCGGCAGAGATGCGATGAAGCTGTAGAAGCATTTGGCTGACATGTTTACCATGGACCAGCTGGCTTATCCAGGGCAGAAACTCGTTCGAGAGCAATCTCGGGGGCATTTCCAGCTGTGCTAAGGGCGAGGGTTGCACCTGTGGGATCAGAAGATCTAGATATCTGGATACTGCTGTTTCACGGCCTGAAAAGTTCGAGGCTGGAGCTGGCGCTCGAGAAGCCGAAAAATTGATTGTGCATAGCCGTCCGTAGATGTCAACATCCCTTCTTCTGCAATCAATCCTTCAGCAGCGAAATATATTTTTACTTAACCTTCTCAAACTGGCCGCCATACCATAGTACAGAAAGACATACGCCCCATTGGCGGTGAATTTTGGCACCGCATGGGATGAGACCAAACATTGCTGAAGGAGGCGAGCACGCTGTGCTTGCGTGGACGGGCTCCGGAAGAGCAGACAGGAACGCCATGTAGGTCTGGGGAGGGAGGCATTGATTTGATATCAAAAGGGTGTGCATTCTCACTGTGCCATGAGCTTTTGGGGCGCTTTAGAGATGTCAACTCTTTGGGGTGAAACCGACGAAAACCTTTCAGACGCATCCTACAGACTTCTTGCAAAATCTTGGGCTTGCAGAGATGGCAGCGCACCAGCTTCGGAATATTAGGGCTTTGAGACAAGTCAGGCATCTCTTTTCGGTCTGCCTTGAATGATCGCCGTTCGACTGGAAAGCCGGCAGAGCGTCCCGAGGAGCATCCTCGGTGTATGTGACACTTCCTAAGACCCAGAATATGCCGCAGGCTGCGGTTGAATCTTGGTCTGGGTCCGTCCGTACAAGGCAATAGAGCTCATTTTCTGCATCATGGGAGGAGATTGTCTTTTTCTACTTCTTTGAAGTTGAGAAGCAGCATCTTATCGCTAGTGAGCAGCGACCGCTTGAAGCAGACGAGGCAAACATTGGTTGAATGCACAGCCACTGGTGGCACTAATAGACCAGGATTGTGATAGGCAGCCGGGGCCGTTTGCAAAATTGCATCTTTGTCGATCCACCCACGATCAGCATGCCACTTTCTTTTCCTCTTGATGCATCTGGTTTGCGGGTGGCGGTGGGAGGAGTCACTTCGAGGCAGCATTGTGTCCTCCACAGTCGGTGACGAGAGAACGATGACCGTTTAGGCAAAGTCCGGGTATGGTAGGAAACACGAAGCTCAAAGAGCACCTCGTCATGGGATGAAATGGACGGCAGCAGATGCAGCGGATGGGACGGAGCGAGGAGCTGGTGAAGGGGTAAGTGATGGGTACCTCGTAAGTGATAGGTACCTAGGTATGGAGCTCCATCATTGGCATGTCGCATGTTGCGGACCTGGTTTGCTAGGCGTCGCCCCTTTTTCCCGGATTGGCTCGGCCACGCGTTTCATGTTCAACGCCTGCGCCCTCTTGGTCCTCCGTCTCCCTGATAGACTGCAATACTCCTGTTCGCCTCTCCCGCGTCCGCTCATTCAACCTCTCCTTCTCCTCGAGCTACACCCTTCGTGTCGCCCGTTGCCGCTCCTTTTGTCCTTCAGTCTCTCTTTTGCAAACTCGTCGTCGCGCTGTGCTGCGACGCGACCTCACGCTCATTTACCACTACATTGTGTTGTGCAAACAATCACGCGGAGTCCGAGCTTCATCAAATTCCCCGTAACACTCACCCGCCACTGACAAGACCCGGAGTCACCCCCTCTTAGTATCTTGAGCAAGACCTGTCTCTGATTTGATCTACTCCTTGTCGCGTAGAGCGTCGAAAAACAGGCAGGACATCCATCTACAGCCATGTATTCTCCCAAGGCCACCTTCGCCCTTCTCTCCCTCCTCTCCACCGCCTTTGCTCAGACTTTCACATCATGCAATCCCTTGGAGCGGACAGACTGTCCACCCAACACCGCGCTAGGTGTCGCCAATTACTCCATCGATTTCACCCAATATACCATGTCAGATAAGGTCTGGAATGTCACAGCTGGCGGCATCAATTATGGAGATGATGGCGCCGAGTTTACAATCGCCCAGCGCGGCCAGTCCCCCACGGTCCAGACAAACTTTTACCTTTTCTTTGGCCAAGTCGAGGTGATTATGAAGGCTGCCAAGGGTCAAGGCATAGTGTCTTCGATGGTTTTGCAGTCAATGGATCTGGATGAGGTGGATTGGGAATTCATCGGAGGAAACAACTCATACGTTGAGACCAACTTCTTCAGCAAGGGCAATCAGACAGATTACGGCAACGCCATCTGGTATCCCATCAATGATCCTCAAAACGAGTGGCACAACTACACCTTGGATTGGTCCAAGGAAAAGCTTGATTGGATCGTCGATGGAAACATCATTCGCACTTTGACATACGATGAGGCCAACAACGGTCTCAAATTCCCTCAGACTCCTTGCGACGTCAGACTCGGTATTTGGGCCGGTGGTGATCCTAAAATGCCAAAGGGTACGATTGAATGGGCAGGTGGAGAGACCAACTACGATGATGTTCCCTTCACCATGACCGTCAAGTCTGTCAGAGTGTCAGACGCCAGCAGAGGTACTCAGTACGTCTATGGCGACACCTCTGGGAGCTGGCAGAGCATCAAGATTCTCAAGTAATACATCTCCCCTCTTCTCACACTGGAAACGAGACTAATACTCCCACTAGTGACACTAAACCAATCCAACTCGACGGCGAAAACAGCCAATCCAGCACCCAATCCATAGAACAAAAGTGGAATGGCCTGCCCCAGAAGACCAAGTACATCATCATCGGCGTCGTCTGCGGTGTTATCGCACTCTGCATCCTCATCTTCGCCTTCTGCTGCATGCGCCAGCGCCGCGCCGGCAAGCACGAGAAACTCGTCGAAGATGCCAAATACGAAAAAATCACGGCCGAGGTCATGGCATATCGGGCTGATATGTCGAGAATGCGGGCCGAGCAGAAGATGATGGGGACAAGCGTCCATGTTAGCCCGGTGAGTCCGATGATGGGAAATGCAGGAGCCACCATCCAAAACTATGGTCATCCCTCGCCGATGATGGGTGGCACGCGGAGTCCGAATCCTGGATATGGATATGCGAACAGCGGATATGCGAGAGGCTACCAGAAATATTGATGAAGGGGAGGTCGTCGAAGACGAGGCGCTCATATCTCTAGCTAGAGGACTGGGAGTGCGCCTACAGTTCATTGTAAGATAATGAGATTAGTAAGATAAGTTGACAGCCGAGTTAAACTGCGTTTCATTTTGGGCTCTTGGCTCACGCTGGCTTCAATGTTCATTTCATTGTTGGTAAGAGGGACAGCTCGTGATCTCGTTGTCTCGTTTCCACCACGCTCTCTCTCTCTCTCTCTTTCTCTCTCTCCGCCTGTTCAAACATGTTGCGCTCTAGCTGCGCAGTATCCTTCGACTCCTTTGCCTCCTTGGAGTCCTTCTTTCCCAAGCGCATCATCTGGCTCAGCTTGGTCTTGACGCCTTTCCCGGCGACGGGCACACCCCTGGTCGGTTCCTCTGGAACCGCCTTTCCCCCCTTCAACGTCACCAGCTTCACTTCGCCTGGCTTGACGACTCTGGCGACCATGGGTTGTTGGCAGGGTCTCGTCTTTGGGCCGGTGGCTTTGACGAGGAAGCGCATATTGTCGGGCAAGTAGAAGCCGGTGTCGATGCATTTTCCGAGGAAGGTGATCTCGACGAGTTTCTTGGGGTCGAACCAGCGGAAAAACGGGCCAGCGTCGACGGCAAAATTCATCAACGTGAGATGGCTGATGGGAAGGTATCGCATGTTTTCGATGCGAAGGGACTCGACCACGTCAATCTGGGCTTGCTTCATGGCGTGCTGGTCGAGGTATTCGCCGACGCCGAACTCTGGGTGCAAGATACCTTCGCCGTGAGAGCCTAGATATTCGGCATCAACCTGTCGGTCGGAGGAGCCGTTGTAGGACCATGTCTCGTCGATCTTGCGGCACTTGTGCTTAAAGTCTTTGTTCATTTCTGGTTCGAGTGCCATTTCAAGGTGGAGCTTGGTGAGGTTCTTGTTCACCCAACACGTGGCCCAGATGATCGGTTGATAGGATCGCATCATGCCATTCAGCTGAAGGTAGTGGAGATTGTGGAAGGTCTGTAGAGGTTTGAGTTCCTTGAATGGGAAGACGTCCTTGGAGTCGCCGTCGCTGTTCTCCTCCTCTTCATCATCGTTGAGGTCATCAAGTTTGATCGGCCAGAACAGGTCGAGATTGAGGATTGGGCGATCTTTGTCCAGATGGCGCCAGAGGTTAGGACGGAAGTTGACGATAGGCTTGCCAAAACCGCCTATTTCGGCACTGGTTTGTGGTGAGTCCATGGTTATGATGGTGGGAAGATGGGTCCGCCTACAGAAGACGGGCAATTTTGGAATCAGTCTCAATTTTGAATGATGAAAATTCTGAGAGCTTTCGACCATGCCGTACCCCAGGAGAGGCCGCGTTGTTAGCGCGTTTTTCTCCTGGAGATTCTGCCAGTTTGTCTAAAAGCGCATGGGGGCTTCTAGTTGACGCTGTGTCAAACGGGTTTTTGCTTGGAGTCAACTCCTTTGTCTGATTCGCCTTCGGCATATTTGCCATAGTCCCAGCTGGCGGAAGCTCTTTCATCACATCTAGTCGGCCTGAGCCTGTGGACGGCGCAGGAAAAGCACCTGTCGAGTAGGGGGAGGGCAGTGGTCGTGAGAAGTTGGGAGTGCGTGCGGAGGAAGGTGTCATGATGGGCGAAGCAGCAAATAACGATGACCGGGAAGGAAAACCTCCACAAGCAGGACGCACGAAGAGCGAGCGAGAGAGACAGACATACTGGGTCGCGCCGACACACTTTGAAGCCGTGAGCAATATTGAGAAGCGTTCAGCACTTCAGTGCGGCCGCTGGGGAGCGTTGCTCTTCGAACCGCCAAACGCAGCGCAGCCAGATCTGCTCAGTCATGCCTTTCATCCACCAGCACAGCTGTCATAGCCATCTTCCAGAGCAGGAACCATTTTATATTCTTTCAGGGCTGTCACAGGGCTGTCAGTGTCCTCATTCTTATCACATCCTTTCAGACCAGTGTCCTGGGCCAGACGCGTCAGGACGTCAGTGGGCAAGGCTTTTTCCATAGCTGATGTGTACAGCAAGCTGTTGAGGAGCTCAATGCCCCCAAGCAAGTCATTTCCCCTTTTAATTCTGTCTGCGAACAACAGTGTCATGGGAGGAGGCAAAGTCTCACACATCCAGGTCCAAAGAGTGAGGTCGCTGGAGGTACGGCGATTTCTAAAGGGGCTTCAGGGACTGCACATCCGGACCCACCTAAGCTCTTGGCTTTTTGTGACGCGCCTCGCGACTTCTCCAAGAATCCCGCAATCACTTATTACTCGCAGGTACTCGTCGTTCAAAGTTGGCTTGTGTAAGTTTGCGCAGGCTGGTCATGCTTTGGAAAGAGAACAGCCCTGTCCCGCGGCTACAGCCATGGCCCCAATCCGTCGTTACCTGCGTATCAGCAAGCATTCCGTTCTCGAATGTCGCATCTTCCTTGAGAATCCCGCCGATGAACCAAGGTGGCTCCTGAACGGGAGAGACCCAGCCCTCCCACGAGTCTTTGAGGCTATCAAGCCCTATGTCCTACCAAAACTACGCGAAGAGAATGAGCGGGTGCGAGGTAAGGGTAAGAAGAAGAAGAGCGTCAAAGATGTGGTCCAACAGGGTGCGTGCACTGGTGCTCTATTGCAAGACCTCTTCTCTAACAGAGGCGTGTAGATGACTTCGAAGTTTCTATCTTCCTCACCGAGATCAGGACCCGCCACTGCCTTCTGGTCAAGAACAAGACATTCAAGCAACAAGGCCCGATAAAAAGCAACAACAGTAACAAGCTGACCGGCGCCGATCACGACACTGTCATGGTGCAGGACGAGAGCGACGAAGAGAATATCAATTTAAGCGATATACCGTCTGCCGAAGACCTGGAAGGCCGGCATGCGGATCCGAGTCACCCATCCGTCGGTCGCGATCTTGACGATGGAGGCGAGAATGACGATAAGAAGAAGTTAGGTTTCAACACCACGTATGAGGGATTTAACATCTGGGGTTGGGTGCTTTGTCTCTTCATTGAGCGCAAAGGCGGTCTCAGCAAGAAAGCCTCTGGGATCCAAGGCAGTTCGCAGGCACTCATGCAAGACTGGATCCAGTCAACCCAAGAACAAAAGGATGATGATTCGTGACGTCCGTCTCCCAGCAAGCGGCGGAGACTGGCTCACCGCATCCAGAATGGAAGTTCTTGCTGAGTACCGAGTACTCTGGCGCCAACTCGTGGCACCCACGTGGAAAACGTGCTGAGGGTTGGTTTCAGGAGAGATGTATCACACTTTAGGGAGGCAATACCCTCGTTTCCCGACTCGCCAAGCCGGTTCCCTGTCCCCAATTGCACTCCTGCCGAGGGCGTTTATTTCAGAAAAAAAGGCGCAAGCTAAGTTCGATGTGAAGCAATATTCGAACGCAGATGGCGGGCAGCTGCAACATCTGGCCCTACAGGACCTCGTAGCCGCGACAACAAGTGAGTAACAATGCCCGTGACAGGACTCAGGCTGAGTCACGCAACTCAGCACTCGCACATAATGAATGTTTGAATCCAGCTCGGCTACTGAAGGCGACACAAGCCAGGTTTTGATTCCAGAACCTGTAGGGTCGCATCAACGAGTGCCAAGTACGATAGCATGAGTTTGGGCCAATATTGTGGTTCAAGGTCCACTAGTATGCAGCTCGTGGCGCCCGTTCACGCAATTTCCACGTGGTTGTGGCTGTCCTGGCGGCTCCCTTTCTCTCCTGGCCTGCCGACTTGAGCCCTGCATGATGCATATCTGGGGCGTACCAAGGCGTGCCTTTGTATCCAGCTTGCCAGCTCTGGCGGCCAGACCTGTTCCATCGTGTTCCAGGTCGGCCTTACACGAGGAGGCGCCGCATATGAGACAGGAGGAAGGAAGTCGCAAACAATGCAGAACTCACGAGCTGCACCCACGCCCCATCTCCTGATGAAGAGCATGCCTGCCTTGTTGCGCGGTCGTCGCATGAAGGCTTGCTGGTGCATGTGACATGCTACGTGGCTAGGATAGACCCTGACTCGCTCACCCACCGACCAGTTTACTACTTTTAGATACCCGCCATGCCAGTCCTCTGTACTCCCAGTCCGTGCAAGTACATGCCCACCGATTATTAACGGAGTGGAGCGAACGTCAGATTCTTTATTCACGATGAGCGGGATGGCCCGGCACCTCTCTTGATCCTGCAGTGAGTGTTTGTTCTCGAAGACAATCTAACAAGTACATAGCTGACGGCGCCGTTTGGTGCGTGTCGCGAAGGCGACGGTGCTGGCAGGCAAATTGCCGCGGGGCTTGAGCCTTGGGCACCCTTGTCTGATCCGAATTGTACAACATGCTAGCGACAAAAGGGCAACTGCATGGAACTAGAGCCCAGATTCGAGAAGTGAGCAAATACAGCAGGCCACCAAGTCTGTCGAGCTACTCCGTACAAGTCCAAGTCGCTGGGCTCGAGCAACTACCTACCACAAATGCGGATAGCTGCCCCGTGTTTTGAGCTGCTTGCATGCTCCAGCAACACGCCATGGACATTTTTCAGTTGGCATCGCAGTTATCGAAACTGGAAGTGGTGCAAACGGCTGAAAACTGTAATATTCTGGCGCATTGGCAGCCCGACACGACTCAGGGCCAGATCATCCACTGGAATGCGGCCCAAGAGAGGTGCGGACGGGAATGTCACTGGGCCAACACGGTATAGTTACTATGATGCGCTGATGGCCCATCATGACGAAATCAATTGTGACGCAGGAACATCTCATGCCGAGCTTGTGAAAAGTTTGAGCCAGATTGCCACCGTGGGAGCCAACCTGAAACACACCATCCACAAACACTTTTCCCGCTCTCAGGCTTCAGCCGCTGGGGGGTGGCAAAAAGACGGTCCCGAGGCCCAGTGATCCAGGGGTAAAGAGAAGGATCTTCAGGAACCCGCTGACCACCACCACCACTACCCAGTACCACCAGCAATGACCGCCACCAGAAACTCCTTCAGCGATACGCGGTCCAGACGATTAGAGCTTGGAGTCCGATGGTGATCTGAACATCACCCATCGTCTTGAAACAGACCGTTGAGAAGGAGGTGATCGGAAGGAGTCCTATGACTGCATAATCGCCGCAGTATGGATTCTCGGTTGCGAGTAATCGTGTTCGGTGTTCAGTGCTCACTGCTCACTGCTCGAGCTGCCCATGTAGGGCCAACCCCCGTTCAACTAGCTATGGATAGAATATGTCACCGTGGTGACCGGTGAGCTGGTAACGTCCAATCCAAGCGCGCGCTTGGCCACGATTTGAAACAGGTCCTCCGCGTGACATGTCGTAACCGAGCGAACAACAAAAAGACCATCTTCGATCGCTCGACATAGCACGAACGGCTGCAAGGAGAGCTTGGAAAGGAAGCAGCCGGAACAGCATAGCGACAGTTTTCCTTTGCAGAAACCTTGCCTTGGCCGGCGAATCAGGGTATGAGAATTCGCCTCCCTATCCGACCAAGTCCGCACCCAGCATCCTTCAGAAAACGTGCGTCGGCTGAGCCAGGGCTGAAGGCACCAATTGCATCCCATCTGACAGGCACAAAGCGGCATAGTGAAGCAGGGAGAGTAGGGGATGGCTCGTCACTCCAAGGTTTGCACCGATCACGGGGTCGACCGCTGACCAAACTACTCGTATGCGTCTGGGACTGAGATCCCGGATTTCTTGATGGAGGTACGGGAACAATTATTTGTGGCACTGCCTGAGTGGACATACACACCATCATGGCAGACGTTGAAGGCCACGTTGCTCTCTTACCGCCAATGAGCACGGTGCGGGCAATAAGGTGAAACCGGAAGTTGGGAGTGCAAGAGCCAGGTACATACAGCTTCCCAACAGTCCCAGCGTCTACAGAACGTACTCGGACTAAAGGGCAACTCGGCACAGGAGGACATCCACACCGCTAAAGATGAATGCTTGCTGGCACGGTGCCAGTACTCAGAGCAGCCCAATCCCTTCCCGTTTGGGATATAGTTACGGGTCGTCAAGGCTGGTAACATATTCTCTCCCGAAGGTTTGGCCGCAGAGCTGTACACCGCTATCTCTGAGCAAGGCCCAAGTGGAACTGGAAAATAATTATTATTAAACAAAGGGAGCAGAAATGCGCTGGAGCATCGTCCTGATGCCGATTTCCCTGCGTGGGCAAGGAGCCGGATGGGTCTCACAATCTGCCTGGTGATTTCCGGGCAAACGCAAGCGGAGACAGCGACAACAATCTCCCCCTCTCTTGCGAGGCGCGGCCGAGCAACCCCAGGCTGTTCCGGTCAGCTGGGTCCTTTGCCTTTGTCAGTCTGCGCTCCTGAGCGACTTAGCGCCTAGGTCTAGTCAAGAAAACTGGAGGAGCCTATCCTCGACTAATCCCCTTCTGGAGGGTGGAAGCCAGGGGCATCAAGGGGGGAGGCCAAGGAAGGCGTCTCCTGAGGAGTCTTGAAATCTTGCGTGTCAAAGTCTGGCAAAACGAGAACATGCCACCACATTGCACACTCGGCAAGCATCAAACGGGATCCACCTCAAAGGCACACCGTCACACAGCCAAGGAGTCGCCCAAAAAAAAAAAAAAATGCATGGATCATGGATGACTCTGGTCAGCGTCACCATTTCTGGAACAATTTTCGGTGCTG